GACCACCATAAAGGAGTGTGAAACTGTCTTCTTACTTATGTTTACTTCCCTTTTGGTAGTCCAAGGGTGCTGAGCGATTCCTGTGGCCCCTTGCACCCAGGTGTGTTTACTGGTCAGTTTTTCCATAGGCTCTTTTAAAAACTGAATATTGTACTCTGGTGTCAACTAGGAAGTGGACGGCTCGTCCCTCTACTTGTGGGGTCACCCAGGGCTCGTGGTGGAGGTTCGCCAAGCCTGGGCCCCTATAGTTTTCTTGGTTTGCCAACTCGAGGATCTTGGGCTTGTAGGGAGGCTGAGATCCCATCCTTTGAGGACATTCCCTAGCCCAGCTGCTTACAATATGTGCATTGGTCTCTTTTTAGGCGGGGCCGACCTTCCTGTGGGGGGTTGTGGGGCTTGGGTTCCCTTTTTCATAGAGGGTCGGTCCCCCCATTTGGGATTTGTTGCTCTTTCAGCCAACAATATCCTAGCCAGCCCTTTTGTTTGTCTTTCTTCAGGGGTTCCTCTGTTGTTAAATACCTTGTTCACCACCGCCATCAGCTCAGAAAGGTTTTTGCCCTCGAAACCTTCCAGCTTTTGAAGTTTTCGTTTTATGTTTGGAGCTGCCTGATTTACAGAAGCCATATTGATGGCCATCTGATTCTCTGGGGCCTCTGGATTTATGGGAGTATAAGTTCTGAAAGCCTCTAACAGGCGTTCCAGGTATGCTCCAGGAGACTCATCCCTTCCCAGCATCACCTGACCTTAGACAAATTGGTGGGGTGCTTAGCAGCTGCCTGGAGACCCCCCCATAAGAATCTGGAGATAGACCTTTAGGCATTCCCTACCTTTGGGGGTGTTATAGTCCCACCCCGCTATTGAGTGCCTAAGAGGGAAAGCAGCCACAATCAAATCCTCATTCTCTGTCGGTTGCCCATCATTTCCAAGGACCATGTGTCTGCATTCCCGAAGAATGCGGTTCCGTTCCTTGGTGGTGAACAGGATATTCAATAACTGCTGGCAATCATCCCAAGTGCGTTGGTGGGTAAAAAGAACAGTGTCTTAGGAGGGAAATCAGGGCCTGAGGCTTCTCTGTGAAGGAGGGAGTCTGTAACTTCCAATTATACAAGTCATTACACACCCCCACACCCCTACCCCCCGCCCCGCGAGCAAGTGGGTACTGGGCTGGGCTTGGCCACAGGAGGTGCTTGCTCAGCCATGGGAGCTGGGGACAGACACTGGGAAGGACTGGAAGAAGAGGAAGATGCTCGTGACCTGGCGCTCCCTAGGTCACTCACTGGGGCCCCGTAAGGTGGCGGGAGTAAATCCTCCTCTGGCGCCAAGGGAAGAACCTCGGACCTGATGGGTTTTTGGTTTTGACTTTCTTCAGGGGAAGCAAAGTAGCTGGCCCCTTAAGCCCCAATGGCAGGGGTGGCAGTAAGGGACACAGCCAGTTGGGGGGTGGGGGGCAGCAACCAGATATCACCAACCTAGGATGTAGGGGATCTGGTCAGGGTGCCCTCGTTTCCCAAAGATAACTCCTTGAACCCTGTAGATGAGGGACAGGTTAAAGGACCCTTCAGGTGGCCATTCAATTTCAAAGGAGGGCCATTTGAAGGTGCAGAGGGTCTGGAGGTGGGTTGGCTTGACACGGAGTCCAGACATGGTCGAAGCTGTTCTTTTGTAGTTCTGAAAATGACTTAAAAACTAGATCAAGGGGAGCTGAAGATGATGAGACTCTCTGGCCCATCGTGGGATAAGCTTCAAGAAAAAAGAATATAAGAAGAGGGATGACAATGAGAAGAAGTAGGATGGAAAGTCGATAGACAAGGCAGAGCTCCAAACAGAGCGTGAGGACAGTATGAGATGGCGGTTCCCTAGAGGAAGAAATGACTTTCTGTAGTGTGCAGAGTCAGCGGAAAAGGCTGCCCCTGTTCCTTTTTCAAAAAGATTTGGCCAGCCTGGATTCCAAGTCAGACTCGACCAGAATCTTGCATCTGGCCCGCCTAGATTCCATGTAGGACTGGGCCAAGACTCTGGGTCGGTCCCACCTGGATTCCATGTCAGACTGGAGCACGACCCCGCAACAGAAGAGGAATCTGGGCGTCCTCCGTTCTCCTCCAGCTCTGGGATCAATAGCATGTCCGCCTGATCTCTGTTGAGCCCCAGGATGTCCGGACTACCAAAAAGCAAGAGAGAGAGAACGTACCAAGGCCGGCTCTGGTGGCACTTCCATGGGCCTGGGATCTCTATTCTCGAATCCCGGATGAGCCCGCACAATGTTAGGGTTCAAGAATCGAGAATAATTCCCACAGATACCCATAAAGATTATACAAAAAGTTTATTCAAGAATTTAAAGTTAAAAAAAAGGACAACAACCAAATGGCAGCTAGCCGGGCACAGGCTTCACAAGTCAAAGATGGGAGTCTGGCCCCAAACAATAGCAGGTAGGAGCTTTTATTAGGGCTCTCTACAGAAACCAGCATGCGCCAAGCATCTTTTTAAAATAATTTGATGCCCCCATATCCTGTGTACGGGGGAAGTCTTGATTGGTAGGGGCTGTCTTCAGGGCATTGGAATGTGCTAATATCTTTTAGAGTCAGAAGTTTTTGTTCATACCTTATAAGGCTTTTACATGTACAATATGCCTGAGCTTGTCTGGGCTTGTCTAAAGAAGCTAGCCAAAATGGAGTCAGAGCATTCTGGCTCTTCACATACTAAATGTAGTATGAAGTCTGTTGCAAAATATATTTAGTAAGGAGTGTGGAGGCAGAAAGATAAGAACAGTCTGGGCTACATAACAAGATACTGCCTCAAAAACCCAAAAGAGCAAGGCTGGAGAGATGGCTCAACAGTTAAGAGACTGCTCTTCCAGAGGACCTGGGTTTGATTTCCAGCACCCACATGGCAGTTCCAGAGGATCTGATACCCTCTTCTGGCCTCTGAAGGCTTTGCATGACATGGGTGCACTTACATTGGGGCAAAACACATAAGAAAAAGAACAACAGGGGCTGGAGAGATGGCTTGGTGGTTGAGAGTACTGACTGCTCTTGCAGAGGACCTGGGTTCGATTCCCAGCATCCACATGGAAGCTATGAACTCTCTTTAACTCCAGTTCCAGGGGAATTGGAAGCCCTCTTCTGACTTCCATGGCATTGCACTCACATACATGCAGGCAATACACTCATACACATAAAAATGATAAAGTATTTTTAAAAAAATTTTAGGGCCAGGTGTGGTGGCGCATGCCTTTAATCCCAGCACTTGGGAGGCAGAGGCAGGTGGATCTCTGTGAGTTCAAGGCCAGCCTGGTCTACATAGTGAGTTCCAGGACAGCTGGGGCTACAGGGAGACCCTGTCTCAAAAAGACCAAAAAAAAAAATTATCTCTGTGTATGACATTAGTGGTTCTTTTTAAAAATATTTTATTTATTTGTATTTTATGTGTATGAGTATATTGCCTGCATGTATGTAAATGCTCCCATGTCTTGGAATGCCCATGGAGGTCAAAGGTGGGCATCAGATTCCCTGGAACTGCAGTTACATTTGTTAACCATCATGTGGGTGCTGGGAATCAAACCTGGATCCTCTGCAAGAGCAGTCAGTGCTCTTAACTGCTGAGCCATCTCTCCAGCCCCTCACTAGTGGTTCTTAGACAATTCTTACTACTAGAAAGTAATTTTTATTGTTATTACTTTGCTTAGCAGATGAATTTGTAAGAAATAAGAAACTCGGTAGTAAACACAATGTAGCGTATAATGTTTAAAAGTATATAGCTACCTGGGGACTGGAGAGATGGTTGTCCTTAACTCTAGTTCCAGGGAATTTACAGCTTTCTTCTGACCTCTATGAGCATTGATAACATGAGTGTATTTCCACACATGCAGGCAATACACTCATACACATAAAAATTAAAACTAGCCGGGTGGCACACACCTTTAATCCCAGCACTTGGGAGGCAGAGGTAGGCGGATCTCTGTGAATTCAAGGCCAGCCTGGTCTACATAGTGAGTTCCAGGACAACTGGGGCTATAGGGAGACGCTGTCTCAAAAAGACCAAAAAGTAAATAAATAAAAATAAAAATTTTTTTAAATAATAATTATGGGGCTAGAGAGATGGCTCAGCGGTTAAGAGCACTGACTGCTCTTGCAAAGGACCCGGATTCGATTCCCAGCACCCACATGGCAGCTACGAATCATCCTTAGCTCCAGTTCCAGGGGAATCTGAAGCTCTCTTCTGACCTCCACCGCATTGCACGACACGGGTGCACTCACATACATGCAGGCAGTACACTCATACACATAAAATAAAAATAAAAGCCGGGCGTGGTAGCGCACGCCTTTAGTCCCAGCACTCGGGAGGCAGAGGCAGGTGGACCTCTGTGAGTTCAAGGCCAGCCTGGTCTACATAGTGAGTTCCAGGACAGCTGGGGCTGCAGGGAGACCCTGTCTCAAAAGGACCAAAAAAAATTTTTTTAATTAAAAATAAATAATTATAAGTATATAGCTTTGCATCTTCTCATAATGGGGGTGGCATACTGACCTAGGGTGCAGATAGTACTTTAAAATAAATTTTGTCACTGTAAAGAACAATTCCAGACAGGCACAGCCTCAAATCAAAGAGTGTGTTATGTTGTAGCTTGTCTAAAAGGAGATTGTCATTATTTAGAATGAATTAGCAAAAGACCTTGCCTTTTCAACTGTGCTTCAGAAGTTAGATCTTCCAAGACGATTTATAATCTTCCATAGAAAATGGTCCATACTTACTTCACCTCTTCATATTTAGCCATTACCTAAAATATGTTAGGCCTTGGAGGGAGCCCCAGGTAAAAATTCAACTTCTAACAATACCAGACTACAGAATTTTGTCCATCGAGTTTACATGTATGGTTAGAGTTTCTGCAAAGTGAGTTTCTTAGTAATTTTGTTGAATATCTTGAGAAAGGATTTTGAGTATATGCAACTGGACATGCCAGCTAAGATCCTAGCATCAGCCTAGATCATATTCTTTACCTGTTGTAGACTAAAGCAAACAAGAACGGTGGGAACCAGGAGGTTGAGATTGCCCGCTGCCATAAGGGGCAATACTTTGGAGAGCTTGCACTGGTCACCAACAAACCCAGAGCTGCTTCGGCTTATGCAGTTGGAGATGTTAAATGTTTAGGTAAGGAAATTTCTTTGAGGGGCCCTACCCCAACCTGAGGATCTTTAGACAGCTAATGGGGAGGGAAAGACATTATTACAGTGATGTAGCCACTGATAAGTTACCCATACTCCTGTAAGTAACCCTAATTAATAATTTCGTTGGTTTAAAAAAAAGCCATGAAAATAAAAGTGGAGGGGGTACTAGTTGGGAAGAGGAAAGGGAACAGTGGAAGGGGGACAAAAGATGGTATGGGGGTAAATATTAAAATTATACAGATGTATGAAAATGTCATAATGAAACCTAATTATTATGTATAATTAACATGTGCTAATAAGAACTTTAAAATGAAAAAAAAATTCTTTGTGCATTACTAATTTTTTTCTAATAAATAGGGGTTTTGTCTTTTCCTGTCAGCAAGCCTTGACTTACTCTGCCGGCTCTTGCTCAGATCTAGGTGTGGATAGTTTGTATGAATGTATTCTTTTAGCAAAGTTTTGTGGGGAGTTTTGTTTTGGTTTGAGTTTTTGGTGGAGAAGGTGTTAGGCATTGAACTTAGGACCTTATACATTCTACGCATATACTACACTACTCAGCTGTACCCCTAGCACCCTATAGTAGACATTTCTGAACACTGAATACAGCCTGTGAGTCCTCCAGGCACACAGACCCTGCAACCGTGTGAAAACAGCAGTAATGGAGGCAGGTGGCCAGGCCTATGGAGGAACAAAACAAACAGGCACTCCTGTTCTCTCTGCTAATTGTAAATTTAGATGATGTGGTCCTGCTGCTATATTTATACAGAAGCATCCCTTTTTCCAAGTACCCCATGTATCAAAATTCAATCTCCTGTAATATGAGTGAATAGTGTATTTAGGAAAAGGGGTGCATGAGAGAAATGACTTGAATTGTTAGTGTAAACAAATCATTCTCTCCCACACCTCTTTTTAATAATGCAGTTATGGATGTTCAAGCATTTGAGAGGCTCCTGGGACCCTGCATGGACATCATGAAGAGGAACATCTCACACTATGAAGAACAACTGGTCAAGATGTTTGGCTCCAGCATGGATCTGATCGACCCTGGGCAGTAGATGTGATGTATCTCAGCGCTTTCTCAGTGTGACACCAAAACCTTCCAGTCAGCCACAGAACACAGACACGACAGAACTGTTCCTGCTGTTGCTACCGCCGCTGCCATTGCTGTGGTTATGGGCATTTAGAAAACTTGAAAGTCAGCACTAGAGGATGGACAGAGGCTCTACCTACACCTCCATTTTGCTTCTGAACGCCCATCATTAGACCACTTGTAATGATTACTCCAACCCAGTTTTCACATCTTTGGTTCAGAATGGCATGTCTCTCCAGCAATTTAAGTGCCTGATACAAATTCCAAAGTGTAAACATCCTCCTTTCCTCTCTTGCTGCTACTATTGCTTTTGGAAGTTACCATAAGGTCCGCAGAAACTTGTTGAATAATTGTAGACACCCTTCCCAAGTCTTTCTCAAGGAGGAAATATTATCTTTTAGTCTCCTCATTTGTCTTTTGAGAATGTCCACAGTATGTTCACAATTGCTGCCTTTGATTTCATAGTGGAAAATGGTAGCAGTTGTAATGGAGATCTGTGATCCAGTGATACTGTTCTGTCTGCTGACAGCTACCCACATTATATAGCTGTCTCCAAGCCCATAGTGATGCTTAGGGAAAAGTCCTACCAAAGGCCCAGCAGACTAATAAATTACACAGACTCACATTAGAGCAGAAAACTTGGATTCAGCACTTTTTGCCAGTAGTAGAGAACCAGGAAAGGTTTTCTGGCTTAGGGTTTTTTTAGTATGTTTTGTTTAACCTCTTTGCAGTTTGCATGAATAAATTGCTATCCATTTATAAGGAGCAAGGGGTGACCAGTTAGCTCAGCTGGGTAGAGCATGGTGCTGAGAGAAGGAGCCAGGTTCTGGAGGTGCCATTGTTTTATCTGACCTAAATACTTCCCTGAGCAGCTTGCCATGTCATGTTTCCAGTTGCTGCCACTGTCTCCATAGCAATAGGCTGACAAGCGGTTGTGCTGCACAGAGAACCCTTTCCTTCCATGTCCAGAGTTGTTGCATAGCTTAACTATTTTCATCAATTTTTTTTAACTTTTAGAAGCTATTTTTTTTAAGGAAATTATTTCTCTATTTAGGGAATTCACCTTGAATATATTCATTCATGTACATGGAGTTTGTCAGCTGACTCAGGCATTTGTCCTAAACATCTGTTAGTTTCCAGAAATTGGTATCATTGGATTGGGGGTATGTGGCTTGATGGTAAATGCTTATCATGTAGCATGTGCAAGACCCTGGGGTTGATCTCCAGCACTGCAACAACAGAAATGAGGGGAGGTTATTATTTATAATCATAGAAGAACTATGAAGGCCTTTATAACACAGCCTCTAGTTTTGCCATGGACACCATAGCCAAGAGATTTCCAGAGTAGATAAGCCACTACAACTTTGATGATTGCTCATTTTTCTTGTGTTCCATGAAGTAAAAGCAGGACTCTTCTGACTGCCCTAGGTAGCTTTCATTACAGTTCTCAGAATTTTAAGATTGTAGCTGATACTTCAAAGCAGGCAGCTAGCACTGGGAAAGCCCATGTGGGGAGCTTGTGTTTTCCCAAGGCTCTTTTCTATAGTATTGCTTTATTATCAAATAAATCATCTTGCACTTTGAAAGAACCATACCTATTTCTTGCAAAGATAAGAGGTACATTAGGCTCCAGGAGTAACCAAAAAATCCAGCCCCAGACCTTGTAAGGATTCTAAACACTGAGTAGATAGATGGCCTCACCCTGACCTCCATGCCAGCATTGGTTAAGGCTGGCTGTGAGTCTTACACCAGAGTTAAACAGGCTGCTAGGGATGGGCCTTCTCATCCTGCTTTCTTACACCTCCCAGTCTCGTTGTCTTCACAGAGTCCTCCTTGGCATCCCTGCCTCACTGATGATGTTGCTGTTATACAGAGTAGAATTCATCAGGTTCAACTTCTGCTCTAACAACTGATTGACATGTATCATCAGTTCAGACCTTCATAGCATATAGGACCCCTGTAGTGAGGGGCACCAGTGGGAAACATCTAGTTTAAAGAAGGGAGACATTAAAGGGACCAGTGTGAGTGACAAAGGACATAGCCATTACCACAGTGCCAGGACCTGACAGTGTTCCATTTCTTTTTGCAGCTTAGTGACTGGAAGCTGACAGACTGGGATTTACTCGGGGTTGGGGTGTCCCATTATGCCAGGCAACCCCTTCATCTGATAGTTGAGCCTCACTGGGAGGAGTATGTCAGAGATTCCTTTGTTAACTCTTTTTATTACCTTCTGAGAGAACTTCACTACTTTTTATTGGCTTTGCTGTTGACTTTGGATGTTGGGAGAATAATCCTTAGAGCCTTGAGGTCCAGTCTGCAGTGTTATCCTTCCTTTCTGCCTCCAACTTAGCCCACTCACTCTCTCTCTTGGTTGAAGTCACTGAAGTAGGGATTCTTGTGCTCTGATCCTCTTAGTGCCTAGTCTTCATGTAGAATTATGTCATTGATGTAGAATCTCAGAAATCAGAGTAGAGCTTTTCTTTGAGTGGTTTTACGAGCAAACTCAGCAGCAAAGTGACAAGAAAATAGTCCTCCAGCCAGAGAGATTATGTTCAACCCCTAATTCTCTGCTTGTGATGGTGGAGGAGTCGGTGAAGTGCTGGCACCCAGCAGCATTTGGTGGCATGTCGCAGTCTTCATTTAGAAAAAGTGAAAGCATTTTGTACAGAGGAAGAAGAGAAAAGGACCCATGAATGTCATCTTTTCTTTCTTTTTCAGTGGGTTGATGTACGTTTTGTTACTGACATGCGCTTGTAAACCAATCTTGCCAAGATATGGGTTGTTTTGATTTTCACTACAATTACCTCTTGTTCCTCCTGTCTTGACTGCTGATGTTCCTCAGTGATTCTAATGTCTATTTTATGGGAAGCAGCCTTTCCATGGGTTTCCTATTACACACTGCAGGGCTATCTTTATACTTATTAAAAAAAGATTTAAAATATCACTAACCTCATGGGGGATTTGCAGAAAACCATTTAGCCCACCTTGAGTAAAGGGTAGATTCCTCATTTTTTTTAAACTCAGTGTAATAAAAGAAACCTAATTAAGCATTATTGTGCTACCTCAAAGGTAAAAATATTTTAAAGTCATCTTTTCGTCCTGAGTTCTACACATGGTGTTTGAGATGTCTTTCAGTTGGAATTATGTTTTAAATCATTGGGGTAAATCTTATTTTAACCTGTTTTACACTTGTATTTTAATCTCAAAAGAATATGTGATTAGAAAGCAAACAATTCTTACTCTATGGTATTGAATATATGTCATTAAGAATTAAATGATTGCTGTAAACAAGGTCGGTTTTTTAAAAAGGAATCTCTAGGGCTCAGCTTCACTCTTGGTTAATAAAGGCTGACAAATCATGTGTGACTTTCTGCTGCAATTTTGTGTCATGTGTTTGTCTTCTCTTGTGAGAGTCCATGGCCATCTCAGCACTCATCTAGCAGATGCACTGTTGGGATTCATATAACCCTTGAAAACTGGGGAGAAGGGTGCTGGAGAGATGGCTTGGCGGTTATGAACACTGACTGTTCTTGCAGAAAACCCCGGTTCAATTCCCAGCACCCACATGACAGTTAACAACTGTCTGTAACTCCAGTTCCAACAGGGGATCCAACAGCCTCTTTTGACCTCTGTGGGCATTGCACGACACAGGTGCACTTACCTACATGCAGGCAATACACACACATAAAATAATAATAATAAATACACATATATATTTGGGGGGGTTCTTTTTGAGACAGGATCTCCCTGTAGCCCCAGCTGTCCTGGAACTTACTATGTAGACCAGGCTGGCCTTGAACTCGCAGAGATTCGCCTGCCTCTGCCTCCCCGGTGCTGGGATTAAAGGCGTGCACCACCATGCCCAGCAAAATAATAAATAATAATAAAAAAAAATGGGGAGAAGACCTGGACATTTGTACTAGTTGGATTCTACAGAGAAGCCGTCAGTATTGGGGCAGGGGGAGGAAAAAAAAAAAAAGATTCTGAGGTATTTTATAAGGGATTGGCTCACATAATTATTGAGGCAAATTCCAAGATCTGCAGGGTGAGTCAGCAAGCTGGAGACTCAGGAAAATGTGGTTTCATTTTAGTCTAAGTCCAGAGGCCTGAGAACCAAGAGAGCTGATGATGCGGTTCTTGTGTAAAGGTCAGCAGGCTCAAGAGCCATGAAGAGCTGATCTTTCAGTTTGAAGCTGACAGCAAGGAAAAAAGGAGTGTGCCAGGTCAGAGACCAGAAGGAAAGTTCTCTCCTAGTCTGAGGAGAAAAAGCCAGGGCCTTATGTATTAGAAAAGTGAGCTACATACCCAGCCCAGCCCTTTTGTTTTATTCAGCCTTCAACTGATTGTGTAAGGTCTAACCACATTAGGGAGGGCAATGTGATTTATTCAGTTTACCAACTAAAATGTTAATCTCATCCAAAAAGCACTCTCACAGGGACACTCATAATAACGATTGACCAAATATTTGGACATCCCATGACCTAGTCAAGTTGACACAACCATAACACCATGGTGGTATATTGTTAGAGACAAGAACAGGAGGATGCAGTGTATCCCTTGCCAGGATACCACTGACACTTGGCAAAAAGCATTTCCTACCTGCCACTATATCACTTCCTCCTTTGCAACATGGCTATAGCCAGAATTAGGAAGGATGACACACTACTGTACATACAGTGTCTCTCCTGGAGACCAAAGGGCACTCACTGGATATTACCTTCAATGGCCAGAGATGCCTTGTCTGTACAAAAGGGCCAAGAGGTAGGAATGTGAACTACCCATCTGGATAGCTGAACCTTCTCAAAGCCAAAGTCTCTTTGTTTCAAAGCTTTAAAAGTTAAATGTGATTTTAGCCAGGCATGGTGGCGTACACCTTTAAGCCCAGCACTTGGGAGGCAGAGGCAGGCAGATGTATGAATTTAAGGCCAGCCTGGTCTACATAATGAGTTTCAGGCCAGCTGGGGCTACAAGGAAACCATGTCTCAAAAAAAGACCAAAAAAAAATTGTGATTTCATTTTTTTGGTTTGGGTAGTAGTGGTGCTATGACTCAAGTTCCATAAGAATATCAAGATCATATCTACTGTTTGTGCCCTGAAGAGGAAACATTACATAAGGACTTAGTTTTCTATCTTAGTATGTTACACCAAGAAGCTAAAAATTTGTCCTATCCAATTTAATTGAATATATCAGGAAATATTTTTTGTAACCCTGGCTAGCCTATAACTCGTTATATAGACCAGGCTAGTCTAGCACAGAGATCTGCCTGCCTCTGCCTCCCGAGTGCTAGAATTAAAGATGTGCACCACCACGCCCAGCCTGTCCTTAGTAATCTTACTGAATTACTTAATTTCATAAGAGTTAAATTAGTGTTAACTACAGTGTAGAAGGAAATTAGGGTCATTTCACAGGGCATCATGTTAAGTATGGGTTTGGTTTGGTTTGGGGTTTTGGTTTTTTGTTTTGTTTTTTTGAGGCAGGGTCTTAGACTATGGCCCAGGCTGACCTCAAATTTGTGGCAGTCCTGAGTGCTGGGATCATAGGCATAAGCCACCATGCCCAGCTTTAAATTTGAAGTTCTGCTTCCTTTACCTTCCTCTCTAAAGACAACTGCCCCATCACCAATGATGATCAGTGATGCACACCACTTCCTTATTGGTTTGGGACATGCATGTAAAATAGTGTTACCCAGGAACATAATAAATATTTGGTTTTGAATTAAGATGAAAATGACCAAGTTCTGACTTGAAATGTCATATATTAGACCTGACACAGTTCATTTGTTCATTGGACAAATCCTGATGATGAACTGTGAATGTCCTTGACACTTTAAACCCAAGGAATTACAGCAGTAACAGTACTGTGGTCCATCAGGGACCAGTGCTGATGGAGTTTATGATCTATGTTTCTAGACTCCCACAGATAGCAGCTGTAACCAGCTGTGTCCTTCCACTTTAGGGATTATGCTCCCAGTGTCTGCTGTTGCCTTTCGTCATGCTGCTCTTCTCTCTGGACGCCTGCCTTTTCCGAAAATGAGCAGTATAGCCAGACAAGCCCCTCATTGTTCACCTCATAAGCCATTCTGGCTATGGAAGCATCCTAGGGGAGAGGTGAAAGATTAGATCGATGATATGAAGGGCTCCTCAGAAACTCTCGTCTTCATGCTAGTCACTTGCAACATGAGACAGGTTGACCAGAGATGCATCTGTACAGACAGGTGCCAAGAATCGAATTTATCTATTTTGTGTGGCATTTACTCATTCACTTCTTCCATGATAAAAATGCGTAGCAGTGGCCCTGCAGTTTGCCACTTTGGTCAGCAGAGGCCAGACTATCCCTGGGCTGTTTTGGTCTCCAATTCTAAAACTATAGCCAATCTCAAACCCATCTTGAGAAATGAAACCTCATCCAAGATCAATCTCCATCAGCCTCCAAATCTCAGCCCAAACCCCAAATGAGGAACAGTTCCCCAGGCAGCTGTCTCCTTGGCAGTGCTGGACTACAGATTTATTTTCCCACAAGGGTACAGCTGACAGGATATGTGTCCCACAGTCCCTAGAGTTTATGGCACTATCCCTATTTTGGAACTCAAATGGTTCCATCCTGCTGACAGCGCCTAGATGTCCTGGCTTCAGATTGTCCCTCTGTGTGTCCCATTCTGCCCCTGGCTTTGTTTGATGGCCCTCATCTACCTGCTGGGAGGCAAGGCTACGGTCCAGTGGCTGATGTAATCTCTACTCTTGTGCTCAGTTCAAGCTGGAATGCCTGGCTCACAACAAAACCAGCCCTGACTCCCTGACAAAGCTGGCCTCCTAACTGAGCCAGGCAGAGCTAGTCACTTTTGAAACCAAGAGGACTGCTAACCTCACATGGGAGAACTAGTTCAAAGGCCAGGCTCAGGGCTAGTGAGATGGCTCAGTGGATGAAGGCACTTGCCACCAAACCTGACCAACTGGGTTTGATTCTCAGAACCCACGTGGCTAGAGAGAGAACCAACTCCCAGAAGTTGTCTTCTGACCTCCACATGTATACTGGCATATGCACACACCCCTATACAATTTTTTTTTTTGTCTTCTTGAAACAGGGTCTCCCTGAAGCCCCAGCTGACCTGGAACTCACTGTGTAGACCAGGCTGGCCTTGAACTCACAGAGATCTACCTGCCTCTGCCTTCTGAGTGCTGGGAACAACAGTGTTTTTTAAAAATTTAATGTAAAAACACACAAAGGCTCACAAGAGGCAGGCAAGAGCACATTAAGAGTATGGGGGTGGAGCTCACTGACTGGGCAACTGTCCAGAACAATGGACTCTTTCAGCCCGCACCTCAGGGCTCTGTTCTGTCTGGAAGCACTGGGACAGGGTGTAGTGTCCAGGACAAGCTGGGAACCGCCTCCACCCTGGTCCTGTGGGATTCTTTTCTTGATAATTTTCCTGCATTTTGTTCTAGGAAAATATCTGAGAAATGATCTGTGACAGCCAGCTCCCTTCCTGCATTGTCCATGGTCTGTGACGTGAGTAGGGATGGGGTCATGGGAGATGTGAATCCCACTGCCAGTCCAGATGAGAACATCATGTTACTAGCTTTGAGCTGTGTGTCTAATCTCAGGCACCAGAGGCCCTGGGCAGACTTTAAGCCATGGGGCATGGGGATGATGGAGGAACAGCATGAAGGGAAGGGGATTCTGAGCTATGCTTGGTCCCAAATCAACTGTACCTGTCTCCCAGGTCCAGATACTGATAAAGAGGAGTACTTCCTAGGTTCCCAGAAAGAGCCAGAGATGGTCAGGGGAACAGCAGCCAAACACATTAGCATGGAAGGACCTTTGACCTCACTCTGGAAGAGGGTCTATCAGTACCTTTGTCCATCTCTGGGGCCCTTGTAGTGCTTGTGGGCCTTGAGCTAAGGCCCTGTTCTTGCATCCCTGCCATGACCCCACCCATGACCTTGTCATGTTTATAGGGAAAAAAAACATAGGTCAACAGATTTCAGGGTCTTTCTCTTTTTCTAAAAAAATATTTTATTATTTTTACTTTATGTGTATGAGTATTATGCCTACATGTAGGTAAGTGCACCATCGTGCAATGCCCTTGGAGGTCAGAAGAAGCTCTCAGATCCCCTAGAAACATGGCAGTTAGCTGCCATGTGGGTGCTGGGATTCAAACCCCAGTCTTCTTCAGGAACAACCAGTGTTCTTAACTGCTGAGCTGTCTCTCTTACTCCTCAAACATTCTCTAGCTTCTGCCCTGTGGATCTGCTCCCTTCTTGACAAAAGCTTAGAGGCTTGCTTGCTTGACATGCCATCTCCCCTCATCACCTCCTACTCTTGCCATAGCCCATCCTTCCCTCCCCAGAGACTTCCACTAACAGAATGACCATGCCAGG